CGTTACGCAACACGCACCGGGTCAGACTGAAGTGCTGCAAAATAATAAATAAAACAGTCGACGATTTTACGTTTTTTTTTGCCTGTAAAACAATATGCTTTCGTCTGACATTGATGCATGGCCGAGATGGGATAATCCCTGCAGCTCTGTTCGCTTAAATTATTCCCGGGCGACCCCGTAATCCCGGCAAGACACTTCGTGCCGCGCCTAACTATTCCCATCTCGGCCAGCGACCCTCGCGCGCCGTAATTCGCAATCAGGATGCAGGAAGGGGGTGCTCCAAATTTGCGCCGTGCAGATGGGCGAAGCGCCGTTGCTCCAATATTCGCCCCGGACTTAATGAATAAATCCCAAACCACCCCTCCCCTCCCTGCCCAACAGCGGTTAATCCATTATCCAATTAATGTTTAATATCGCGCTGCTCGATGCGGCGAGAGCCAGCTGAGTGAGCGGGGTTGATGTGCAAAGCCATGGCCCGTTGTCAGAGGAGGGCTGGCGTCCACGCTTTTTATTACACGCTTTCTTTTAACTCACTCTGTTGTTGTCGTTGTTGTATCCTCAAATCTTGTAACTCAATTTTAACCCACTTCCCAATGTGGTATCGACTGCAAACTTGGTATACTTATGTCATACTGATGACAATACTATCTTCTATCATAAAAAATATATATTTTAAAAATATTGTTTTTTTATATGTTATGTTTCGGCTTGGGTCTAATTGTCCACGCTCAACTGACGTTGGCTGTAATTGCCCACGGTCCGTCCCTTACGTTGTGGCAAGCTTCGGGGCCACTTCCTGGAGTCGTGGAGTTCTGCCATTACTAGTACATTTCATAAAAGCGTGTTTTTTTTAAGTTGATGTAAATATTACTTTTATCTGACCACGTTGTGGGGGGTGAGAGGATGGGAGCTATTTCAATGCGTTGCGGAGATGCACTCGGCAAATGTGCCTCTACATCACGCACCTCCGCATTAGTTCCCATTTGAGGGTACATTTTGCAGCAAAGTATGACTTTTTATTTTTCGTTCAGTCGTTCCCGAGTGTCCGACAAATTATTTTAATTGCACTAGATCGCAGTATTATTGCAGACCTCCGAAACTAGATTGAACAGATAGGACTGTTTGAACCATTTGTAGTTTTTTTTATTCTTACGCAAAAATATATTTGTGTAATCAGCCAGATGAATTACACATTGATACAGTATAACATCGCATATCCGACTTAACTGAGGACTTCGGTACCGCTGAATCTGTGAAAGTCAGATTTGTGAACACCATCAAACATAATTACAGGTTTTTTTTGGGTTAGATCGCGTAAATATATAAATGTGTCGTTAAACCCACCACTACCCGACAGACAGTTAATAAGGTTTATCACGTAAACAGAACATGAATGTTGTGGCTTTGCTCTCAAACACACCGGTGTGCTGTACTAGTGACGAATTGGCACGTTCTGTTTACGTGACAAACCTTACTAGTTTGCTGTCGGGTGGTGGCGGGTTTAACGACACATTTATATATTTACACGATCTAAGCCAACCGCCCCCCCCCCGTATTATGGATGATATTAGTCGCCAAAGCCTATGTGTTAAACCATCATCAAATTTACGCTACATCAGGTCAGGGCCTATGTCTTTGCAATTCCCCATGAGACACAAGTTGTGTTTGTTCTGATTTATATTTGCTTCCTGGCTGTTATTTGTTTGATTTGTTTTGCTTTTGATCATTTTGGTAACCCCCAGGTTTGTGTCACTTGCGAACGAGACTCATCCTGGTCTGTGAGTTGACGCCTCTGATGAAACAAAAACAAAAGCAAAGCGGAAATTCCATTCATTTGTGACACACGTGTGTATGTTGATCTTCTTTCCCACCATATGTAGCCAGTCGTGATAATCGACCGCTAATCGATTAGCGCTCGGCGCATCGAGCACAACGCCAACAGCTGCACGTGTTAAGATACGGGCGTGTGAAAACTAACGCTCATCATTGAACTAAAAACTATTTAAACTTTTTTTTTTAATTTGACCAGGTAAGGCCGACTGAGCCTACAGAGCTCTTTTGCAGAAGCGATCTGGCCACAAATGAGAGCTCAACGAAGTGGCTTATCACGTGGGCATTTAAAGCAGCCAAATACCCTGAACGCACTTTGATTCTAAATGTGGAGGGAAACGTCGGAGGACCTGGGGATGAAGCCACGCGACCACGGGGGAGAGAGACACGCAAGCTCCAAATATACAGCAGGCTCTCCTGTATACCAGGCGAGGTGTTTAACATCTCACCACCACAAAGGGGCCGTCCACAAATGACGTCACGCGATTTTTGACCACTCCCCCCCCCCCCCCCTTCGTCACACGGCGTCACAAAAAGTCAGACCCCCCCTCAAATATGACGTCACAAAGCTCTGCCCCCCCCCCCCCAAATATATAAAACATGTTTCAAATCGCTTTAAACTATTGTCATTGTAGTGCGTATTTAATGTGCCGCTGCACTCTGATGTTGTAGGAGAAAACATTTATTAAAAAGTCTATTTAATTAAGTAGAACGTGTTGTCTATATTTATTTAAAGTTGCGCATTTTTATCTGACGTCACATTTCTCAAACCACCCCCCCCTCGTCACACATCGTCACAAATGTCTGACCCCCCCCCCTCCCAGGTGCGTGACGTCATTTATGGACGGCCCCAAACAGCAAAACCAAACCTTAATGAGCTCGGTCGCGTTCTTGAAGGAGCTCCCAGAAACGTAGAGCGAAACGTCGTACATTGCGCCTAACAGACACGCGGCATAAACGCGCGTGACAGTGTCACACGCGACCGTGTTTAAAATGATTGAATTCTTGAGATGCCGTGGGCAGCTAACCTCAAGTAATGCATCGAACGTCGATTCGAACCGTTGCTGGAGACACATCCCAAGCCATTCCGCATGGGTTGCTTGTTTAAAATAAAAAAAATCAGCGTTCGTGTATTTTCTAGACTTCATTAAATATTACGGGCAGAATCCAGGTGGACAGGGAATCCCGCACCCGTAACCATAACAACTAACTGCATTATGCATGCGAAACTGCCTGCAATTTAAGTGAATTCCAGCAGCATTCTCTCCCGTTGTGTACACTATTTTATCAAAAGAATGTATAACGTAAGTTATGAGCAATATTTCAAGTTATAAACAAATTTACAAGGATATATATTTTTTCAAAATATAGTGCTGTAAGCCATTTAATCCATTAGATTTGTATCATACACATGTACAGCCCGTGAAGGATATTCTGACCATGTACAGCCCATGAGCGATATTTGGCCATACTTCACCATGCTGGTCAGTGCGGATTGAAGCCGAGGTGGGGTATAGAACTAAAATACATTGTTTTGCTGTACTGCCCTCAAACTGCCCACAACACCTATCACAGCCATTGACAAACATTGTATATGGAAAACAGTGACGCTGCTTGCATACGTACCGCGTTTATCGACCCTTTCCTGCCATCCACGTACTGTAACGCTATGCCATCTCCTCTAATCGGTGTGACACATTGTTATTATCAAAGCCCCTTTTGTCGGTAAGAGGAGTCACCCTGCATCCGTCTCCTGGAAGAGAGCACGGCGTTTGTGTTTTTTTTTGGGTTCAATTAGGGTGGTACGAAGGGGTAGGTCGGAATGGATATCCGCATCGATCCACCTATGCAGGCATCTGCATGTTCAGCAGAGGGGTTGGCCGGATTTTGCGTCTGCTGTGGAGGGCGAGGCCGGGCCAGATGCCTGCTTGTGTCATCCACATTGTAGCTGGTCTGGGTCGTTTGTGCCGGGGATTCACCGGGGGTAACCGCTCGACCGGGTGGAATTGGTGGAGGTCAGGATATGGGCAAGACTGAAGGTTTGGGTGGAGTTGTTGGAGGTTAGGCGATAGGCAGGACTGGGGGTTTAGTGTGGAGTTGGTGGTCAGGGTCTTGGCAGGACTGTGGTATTGGGTGTATTTGGTTGAAGTCAGAATTAGACCAAAGATTTTACATTGGACTACAACATAATTGATAGTCAGAGGCAGAAGTGGCTTTCCGCTTTGTGGGGAGTCCACACCAGCGGTGAGTCCATGCCGGTGGCTCTGTGAGTGATCTTGTCCGTCTGGAATTCCTCAACGTTCTGTTTTTACTTGTTTGTCCTTCAGTTGACTTCGTCACTTTGTGATATATGGAGCTCTCATTTTGACGATATCTAATCCATAATCAATTATTTAAAATTAGGGGTCGATGAGACACACTTATTCCCCACATGCGGGGTGTATCTTACATTCTTCAGGGTCTTGTTAGGTAGACAATATGGTATCCTTACATGGATCCCCCTACACGTCGACATGTCCACCACTCTTGTGTTTATCAATTGTGCTAAAAAGATCTTCATGCCAGATAAGCGCTTGTCTTGTGTCGATGCCCAAAGTCCAGTGCACATCGCAGACAAATAATATGGACAAGAAGTAGACCGCTTGTAATGTCACAGTCCTCATTTAAATTTTATGCAAACAGTGTTAAGCTCTGACATATTGATGGCACATTTGCAATGATGCATCACCTTGCCGCGCTGTTGAGTAATGCGCAATATCGATGTGTTGTAATAAATTATGCTCCTTTGCAGTTTGCATCAATGCATCTCCTTGTATGACGTCAACACTGTAATTTCGGCGATATGTTTTTTTCTTCCTCGCTGGGTATACAGGAGGTCGTGGGTTCGATCCTGGACCCTGACGATGCCAGTTGTATATTTGGTGGCCATGGGGATATTTCTCAGGGTCCTCTGGTTTCTCCAGGATAAATAAATATTCTGATTCTGTTTTTTTCTTCCACATTTAGAAGCACGCATTTATATTATTTGGCTGCTACTACAAATTCCCACATGTGATGATATAACCCAGTGGGGTAAGCCATCACGTGTGGCCCGGTCACCTCTGAAAAATAACTAATATCTCAGTGGGCTTTACCTGGTACAGTATATAAAAGCGTTTCTGTTTTGGCAGATATTGCGGAAGAGTTCATCGAGCCCATGTTCATCTTCTACCGCAGCATGGGAGATCTCAACGCGACGGAGACAGAGTACGCTTTGTTAACGGCGACCGCCATTCTTTCAGCAGGTACTGTAAAAAAAGACAAAGACAAAGATCCCCCTATAGATTTATCAGACTGTAGGGGCAAGTGCTGTTAGCGAGCACCTATGAAGGCCGGAACACTAGATGAGGAGGTGGGTGGCCAGCACCACGCCCGACCACCTTTGTCTCCCCAGTGGTGATGTTTACACACCGCACCAGGTACTCATTTTAGGCTGAGTCGACCTAGGGGAGGCCCAGGACCGGTTCAGACACTCGTCACTGGTGTTGGCCGTGAGCGGGAATCGAACCCGGATCGCCGGGTTCATAGCGCAGCGTAGCGCTAACCGCTACACTGCCGTACAGGTACTATACCCACGCACGCACGCACAAACACGCAGTGTGCAGCACATGGCACAAGCAAACGAAGAAAAATCTTCGTGCCCCAAGCAGCTCGATGAGGCCCGTATTCATTGATAGAAATAATGATGCACCAGATATCAGTTTACATTCAGATGCTAACAAATATAACAGTGAAATTGACATGAGACGTTAATTAGTATATATCGTATATTTTTACGTATGTTGAACCTCTTTTGCACCATACGTAGCCAACCATACTAATCAAAAGTTTGGCGATCACTTTGTGTGTAATGAGTGCAACCGTATAATGTAAAATCACATTTCCATTTTGTTTCCAGCCCTCTTCTCTCATCCCACAACATTACTGGCTCTTGTCTCTCTCTCATTTCACTACATCTGTCTCGTCTGTATCTCTATTCTCTTGTCTCCTTTAACATCCATCCCTCGTCCATATTTATATCATCTTGCTACATCTCTGTGTCCTGTCTATATCTCGCCTGTCATCTCACTTGGAGTTCATGAATTAAAAGGGAGACACACAATGTCTGCTTTTGGCCACCAATGTGCCAGCACTCCCACAGGGTGCACAAGCCCCTTTCTTGTGTGCCTCTACACGTACAGACCCAGTTGTGAATCCACGGCTTATTGATCCCACTCCAACAGAGTGGGATCAATAAGCATGGCAAGGAATATTATTCAAGAAATGGGCAAAGCGCCGGGCAGATAAAAACACAGCGAGATGACACAATGGGGCGAGCAACTGGTGCATCTGCCAGTCATATCAGTCAGTCAACGCATAACACTTGAGGTGGCCGGCTTTCTCACTGGTCAGAGCGCTGTGCTGGTGCCTCCAGGTAAGCACCTGTAGTTCACCGTTTCTCAGGTGTAATGAGCTAATGGCCACTAATGATCGCAGGCAGAAAAATAATCAATATCAATTTATATTTCCACTTACTTAATTCCGACAGTGAGAAGGGAAAATGTCAGTTTCACTTCTGTGAAACAAACATTTCTCGCGAGCACAGGTGTGAAAGGAGTGCAGAACTCTGGCGCGGCTAAGAGAGCACTTGGAGGGCTCTCAGACGTACTCCGATGCGTTTTCGGGATGCACCGCATGTTGTTCGGCATGACGTCCGACATTTCGCTCCACGTTCTGGGAGCTATACAGCAGCGCCACCGCAAAAGCCGACGCAGCAGTATGATCTCAAAAAAAAGACCTCAATGATATCACCTTCCACAGTCCGCTCCGCAAACACTAGGCCGTGCCCTTCTCCATGGGGGAATTCAAAACGTGCGCCGCCCTTCGTATCTTGACACGACGCCGAGAGCAGCCGTTCTAGATTAGAGTCGGCGTGGATCTTTCCTGTCGACCGAATGATGCCAATAAAAGAAGAAAAACCTTCCATTACCCCACAGATCGACCGTACGTGCGCGGCCACCACCTCGTCGAGTCACTGCAGGAGCCTCTGCTGGACATCCTCTACAAGCTGTCCAAGCAGCAACACCGGCAGGACCCCCAGCACTTTGCCCGCCTCGTGGGCAAGCTCACCGAGCTGCGGACGCTCAACCACAATCACTCGGAGGTGCTCATGTCCTGGCGCCTGCAGGACCAGAAGCTGACTCCGCTGCTCTGCGAGATCTGGGACATCCAGTGACGCCAGCTGCTCAGGATCCACTCAGTCGCTCGTTTGTATCCCCCTCATCTTCTTCATCCGCCGAGTGTTTTTTTTTTCCCCTCTCCAGAATTTCGTCTTCCGCATTTGGCTTACATGTATATTTAATACGTTTTGTATTGAAGTGTGACGATGTGGGGTCGTCACGTGTGCACGGTGCGGCGTGAATGTACGACTGCGATTTTGGTGACACGCGCTAGACAGTGGACGCCATGGTCGCTCTGCGTTATTGAAGGCGCTCACGTTATTTGATACAATGCTACTCTTATATGGTCACGGCAGCAATAATTCTTCAGACATGCCGTTGAATTATTTACGACTCGGAAATTAACTATCCAAACAGAATTTTATTTTTACAAAGTTTGTTGTGGGTTAAAAAAAACATTTTTCTTCCCCATTACCTCGCAAAATATTTCAAATCCCTTTCGATTCATTGAGGCAGAATATTGTACACATTTTGTGAAATATATTTGATCGGTTCAGGCTGTAATTGAACCAATAGCTGGATCGGGAGAATCTCCAAGGGTCCCATTGTCTTCCGTGTGTGGCAGCGCACACCGCACACTCAATTATTCTTCATTTGCCCTGCTGTGGTCAAACTGTCACCTCACAGTGCCCCCCCCCCCCCCCCCTGCTGAATTGTTTTGCTTACACACAGGAAAAAGAGCAATAAAATAGCGGTATGTGGGACTGTCTTCTTTAAGTGTGATGCAATTTTTACCAATTATATCTCACCCATCCGAATTGTACAGAATACTGTAACATGAATTGGATTTATATGCTTTAGGGCCTAAATACGACGTCATTCTCAAAGCACTATAAGGAAATAATTGGCATGTGTATTTTTTGATGGAAAGATACAGTCGCAGTCAAGGGCAGAGGGCGGGGGGATGGAAATGAAGGTTTTGAGTCTGGACTTGAACAGGGCCAGGGAGTTCACAGCAGAGATGTCGGGAGACAAACATTTCCACACCATGCGGGCAGCAAAAGATAATTAGCAACTGCCCACTGATTGAAGGTTGATAACCTCACGAAGATGCCAGCCACACGACCCTCACCGTCGTTATGGAGTTGGCCCAACATTGTAGATGCATGATTCTTCTGGAAAAATAAATAAAAGTATCGCGGTTCAGTGAGGCTTTGCCGAGTAAACAACATTATTGCCCATCAATGCCCTAACATTTGTTACTGCCGTGACCTACCAACCACAAACCGTTATCAACCGTACGCAACTTTCACAGTGCGTCGAGCCTGGCACAGATCCGGTGGGTTTCACATCCACATTCAAGCAAATGGCAGTTGCTGCTGATGTTTTTGTTCCTATTTTATAGCATATCGTTTATAGATGTAACAAAAAGTGGCGTTGATAATGTTACAAGTCAAATGTAGGTGTTATTTTGTTGTCATAATTAAAATGGTACCTTATGCTACCCTTGTTCGATTGTATAGCTTTCCAATGTAGTTAAGGTTGCATACACATATCTGGTGAACCAGTAAAAATATTAATATTAAAACATTGCATATTTTGGCTTATCCATGTTTATCTACTTTTTAAACTACTTAAACACCTACATGATTTTTATTGGTGTGTTGTAAATATCAAATACCTGATTTCTATCGTAAAAAAATGGCCAAAACTGATCGTTTTTGGAGATATGCCCCATTGTTGCTGAAAGAGACATTACATTAGCACGTTTGGCAATGTGTCTTGATGATCATCTGTTAAGGTGACAATCTGGTTCAATCTGTATAGCTAAGTCACGTCAGTAGGTAGGTTAAAAGAGATGAGGGTGCGGCTCTGCCATGACTATACTCGCTGATGCGGTTGCCGGGCAGGACTGCCTCCACACGAGGGAGCGCGAGAGAGTCCCTCTAGAGCAGCGAGAGAGTCCCTCTAGAGCAGCGAGAGAGTCCCTCTAGAGCAGCGAGAGAGTCCCTCTAGAGCAGCGAGAGAGTCCCTCTAGAGCAGCGAGAGAGTCCCTCTAGAGCAGCGAGAGAGTCCCTCTAGAGCAGCGAGAGAGTCCCTCTAGAGCAGCGAGAGAGTCCCTCTAGAGCAGCGAGAGAGTCCCTCTAGAGCAGCGAGAGAGTCCCTCTAGAGCAGCGAGAGTCCCTCTAGAGCAGCGAGAGAGTCCCTCTAGAGCAGCGAGAGAGTCCCTCTAGAGCAGCGAGAGAGTCCCTCTAGAGCAGCGAGAGAGTCCCTCTAGAGCAGCGAGAGAGTCCCTCTAGAGCAGCGAGAGAGTCCCTCTAGAGCAGCGAGAGAGTCCCTCTAGAGCAGCGAGAGAGTCCCTCTAGAGCAGCGAGAGAGTCCCTCTAGAGCAGCGAGAGAGTCCCTCTAGAGCAGCGAGAGAGTCCCTCTAGAGCAGCGTTCTTCACTGCAAGGCCGGCGGGGCCACTGGTGGCTCCTGGTGGCCTTTAGTGCGGCCCCTAACGTGCAGCCCCCGACAATACACAACACGTGACAACAGCCCTTGCAGGCGGTGTGGCGGCCCTCACACCGATGAGTTCTTATTGGCGAAAGTGCCCCCCCCCACCCCTCTGAAAATCTGTGAAGAACACCGTTCTAGAAGGCGTTTGGTCTACTCTTCCACGATGGCCAGTTATCTTGGAAGAGGTGGGGGTTAATCACACTTTACCCTACCGCACATGTGGTGTACCCATTATTACTCTTGGGTGGACAGAGGTAGGGCTTTCAATAAATGTACCACATTGTTTCACCTGCCGGGCTAGGAGATTGAACCGGCGGCCTATGGATTGCAAGCCCAGCCATGGTAACCATGACACCACGGCAGCATCCCAAGTAGGTAGGTCGGTGCCCTTTATAGTCAACCAAATGGTAGCCCGTGAAGACCATAGGTCTGTTTTCCCAGGGTGACCCAATTACTCTTGAAATCTTACTCATGACTCTAAAGCAATGTCACAAGTTTTTTTTGTTTATTCATCATCCATATCCCTTGTACCCTGATCTTTTCAAAGCAGGGCAATGATTAAGCAGTGTGAAAATTCACATCCTTGGCAGTGCCAGCAGAGTTGCAAACACATGCGGATTCGTTTTTTTGTAAGGAAAGTAGTTTATTACTGGACTTTTTTTCAAGTCCACCAAATATATTGACGAGCAGAGCTTTCCCTCTAGAATTTAAATAATGCTTTTTTGCGGCCAATAACTACATCAATGTCAAATGGACATTGCGACATTAGTCTGTTGCAAGCAGTTTTCAATGGACACAAAGTCGTAATTTAACGTACTTTGATTTAAAGCTTTCATGACTGCAGGGATTCATATTATTTGTTCTTTAGGTAAAGTCACGTAGAAGGGAAACAATAAAATAATAAAAAATATAAAATTGCTTTATATTTGTATTATTTTATGGTTTCCCTTCTACGTGACATTACCGAAAGAACCAAGAATATTAACGTATTTTGTCAATCCACTGCATTCAATCATGGGGTTTGTTTGACCATACTTCACCGTGCTGGTCAATGCGGTTTGGTTAAAAAGGGGAACCGGGACCGGTTTGGAAATCACTCGCCACTCATGTTAACCCTGGTTGGGAATTTAACTCTGGTGAAATTAAATACATCTGCAAATAATTTGTCAGTGAAATTGGTAACGTGGAAGTCTTGAGAGTCGTGAAAAGTGACACGTTCTCGGAGTGTAAACTTTAAAATGTAAGTTTTCAGATGAGTCATGAAAAAACTTACGACGTCTTTTGAACTATTCTGCTATAAGAAATATAGTTTCCAAATGTGCACGATACATACCTATGAGCTGTGTGTTTTATATCAAATGTATAATTATGGAGTCCTATTATTTTTTGAACACTGTAATATATATTTTATTACCCTATTTTTTAATATAAGTGCAATTACTTGATTGATATGTAATCGCAGTGTGTTGTTTTTACCGTATTAAATTAACAGCGAGTAAGGATCTTTCATTTAATTAACTTACTCTTCTAAGTTACTTTTGTTATGACGTCCGCATCCCTTGAGCAGAATACCTGAGCCACTTCCACTAATTTACAATTACAAAATTGAAACACATTTTGAAGGAGACCAATTTCAAAGTTCACCAGCTTAACAATTTTTTCTACTGGCCTTACAATTGCTGTACCACTGCTGGCAATCTGCATGAATCTGTATGGTTACAATCCTGCAGGCGTAAACCTTACTCTTTAGCACCCAGATGTAAAAAAAAAAGTTAAAAGTGCAGCCCTACAATTGCTTGCTCATGTGACTGCTGGTAAAATGCCCCCCGCTGGACGGTATTCTGACTTGCACTATCATGCTGGACAGACATCTTGGAACAAGTGGTCGTACACCCACACTTTACCCCACCACATGCAGCCTGCCGATTGACGAATGGGTATATTGGTTCATACTGCTGGGTGGACAGAGGCAGCGGGGTTCAAAAAAGCCCATTGTTTCAGCTGCCACATAAGGAGAATGAACCGGTGACCTCTGGATTGCAAACCTCGTATGCAAACTATTACGCCACTGCAGATTCCCTCATGTATTTGCTATCTAATCCTGTACAACCATTTTAAAATTCACAAGCAAGCTCTACTTATGGCCTTCGATTGCTCCATGAGTGTGCGTTGTTATGGCGTTCATATGGTGTCACTTTAATTGGGAGCATTTCAGAGAATGTAAATTATTCCTCATGAGTACTGTTGGCCCGCGTACATTGGCCACTATTTCAATATTCTCATTTCACACATTATTTCGGATTTTATTTCCCAACAATTCATTATATTCTCTTTCCATAACAGTGCACAAATTGTCCTTGCAGAAGTTCAGCATTGGCAGTGAAGAATATTTCTGAGTGTGTAAAGAGCTCCCCATGCCCTTATGCCAGACACTTTACTGACCTTATAACCAATTTCTCTTGAGGCCCAAGAGCCAATCCTGCTTCACTTGGAAACATTACAGCATGTGCTGATCAATGGGCCACGACTGTATCTCCCTACGTTATAAGGGCATTATTTGATGGAGATGGCATTAGCTTTCACGGTTAACATGGAAGAAAACATCCAGGGTGTTTCAGTTATGCCCATAACGCCTCTCCACGTGACTCATGGCTTTTGATCTAAATATGCAACCAAATACTATATCACGTAATGTAGGTCTATGGACTGGCATGAAATAATTGTCACAATGTGTCCAGCTACTCTTTTGAGGTGTACGTCGTAGGTATGTGCAGAAGGACAAGCAGGTGGTGCAGATGGTTGAGGCAGACAGGCGAGCAGATGGAAAGGAAAACATCGCAGGCGTGATTACTTGCTCTTCCTCGCCTTGGGGTGAAAGATAATTAAATTTCCTTTCTAAATTTATGTTAATCGATAAGTCTCGGAAACTAGTCCATCGCCCAAACGCCCGTCGTCAACCTCCCACCTGCTTGTATTGATCAAATGCAATTGTCTGTAGAGCGTATTCGATCTCCTCACGAGAGGTTTGCAGGGTCCGTTGTACCTGTTCGCTTGCCTATGATCGCGCAATATTCATAACATCGTCTTTGCATCGCTGCCGTAAACATCAGCCCTTTTGTCGAACGCGACACAAATTAAGTATCAGTAAAAGGCAGTGTACGGCAAACTACCCGTAGTACATTGACACGTCTAACAGCCTCCTCCACCACCTACCATGCAGAACTGGCTATCCTTACACCAATAGAACAAGGGCTGTATTCTCATTTCATCCATTCAAAACACGTGCACATTTCCTGGTAATGGCATTCTCGTGAGAATGAATGTTCGTGGACACTTAGGCTGCTGATGCAACATTTCAAGCATTTGCAACAAAATAAAGGAATATGCCTCTCCTTGTGGTTGCTATGCCAGTCAATTCAACAAATGCGTTTTTTTGTTTTGAGTGTGCGGCTTGATATTGAACTATAAAAGTGTATTCCTCATTACCTGGTACTTGCGTGCAAGATCCCAGGCGCAATACATATCCACTGATATTGCAAATAAAGCACCGTGATTGCACCAGTAGGCTTCTAGTGCGCAACACAGTAGCAGATCCTGCTAGAGATATTTTGAACCGTGTAGTTGAAGCCATCAAATGAGCATTTTTCAGGGCATTCTCTTGTAAAAAAAAGGTCACTGTGGTACGGAAAATATTGCTATATTTACTGCATACGTATTGCTCAATTGCTGTTGAGAAAAACTGTTTTTTGTGATTGCTCCAAATAAATGGCATGCTTTTATAACATACATTCTATATGTTTTTGTGTCCGATAGATGTCAGTTTGTTTTAAATTAAGATTATGAAAAATCCTTGAAAAACGAAGCATGACAATGTGGTGACTTTTTGGCTGTCAAGTTTTTGAAATAATTCTGAGAAATGTGTGCATTGTCGGGGAGACTGCTCCCCGTCTCCCCGCTCATCTGGGATCCACTGCTCCCCTCTTCCGTGTCCTGGGGAAGGTTGCTGCTCCCCGACTCCCCCCTTCGCTGCGACCCCTCGGGGCATGATTTAAAGGACTGGCGCGTAGCCACCAAAAATTCAACGCGGCTACCTGCCCGGTGCCGCGCACCAATCGCACGCGCGGGACCAGGGGTCGGGGGTCGGAGGGCAGGGGGCGTCACTCGTACGCGCGCAGCCGATTGGAGGAGGTGCCCCGGAGCAGGTTTAAAGGGCTCTGTGAACAACCTGGCGGGTACGCCGCCCGTGCACCTCTCGCAGACGCTAACCACGAGCTACACCGCTAATCTCGCGTACACGTTAACTACGAGCTACACGCAGCGGCGAGCGCACACACGCGGGTAAAATACACGCTCGTGCGCGAACACAGGATACCACAACGAGAAGGCTCACAGCACCGTGCACTCCTCTCAGCACTCGCAGGGACGACACGACAAGGTTTATTGATTACCGGCGATTTATTCTCCCCGAATAAACGAAGCTAAACTACCCGTGTCGGTGTGGGCCAGCAGAGCAGGTC